GTATGTGGATGTATGGAGAGAGGACAGGAAGGAGGCTCTCCAGACTGTTAAGAGTAGTGTTCTTTGCATGTTTGGATTTGAGGTACTTTTTACCTTCTTCTTTATACTTTTGTGTACAGTTTAAATGTTTCATGATGACTGTGTATTTCTTTATCATCAGAAAAAAGAATAAAGCTATTGTAATTTTGAAAAATAAGTATAGTCTTCATCACAGGAAATAATAGTCCCACTGTATTTGTGTTGATAAAACCACATATTAGGCTCTAGCTCTCCTGCTGGCCTGGAAGAAGCAAGGGGCCATGTTATGAACTGCTTGTGGAGAGGGCCATGTGCCTGGGAACCGTAGACAGCTTCAGGACAGTCACAAGACACTGACTGAAGCCCTCGGTTCTACAGGAGGGCAGCAAGGAAATGAATTCTGCAACAATCTAAGCGACCTTTGAAGCAATTTCTTCTCCAGTCAAGTCTCAAGATAAACACAGTCCTTGAAAGTAGCCTTGTAAGACCCTGAGCACCAGACCCAGATAAGTCCTGCCTGAACTGACCCTCAGAAACTGTGACACAGCAAATGTTTTAAGCTGCTGAATTTGTGGTGATGTTTTTACACAGCAATAGAAAAACTAAGACATATGCCCACCAGCGATGTATAAGAGTTTGAGATGCTCTGTGTTCTTGCCAACCTCTGGTATTGTTAATCCTTTTAACTTTGGCTGTCTGGTAGGTGTGGTATCTCGTGATTTTAAGTTTTATTTCCCTGGTGAGTAATGTTGAGCACCTTTATTTGCATATTTTTCATTTGGATATACTCTTTTATGAAGTGCCAAACCCATTGCCATAGAGTCGATTTTGACTCATAGCGACCCTATAGGATACAGTAGAACTGCTCCATAGGGTTTCCAAGGAGTGCCTGGTGGATTTGAGCTGACAGCCTTTTGGTTAGCAGCTACAGCTCTTAACCACTGCGCCGCCAGAGCTTCTTATGAAGTGCCTTTCAAGTTTTTTTTCCCATAAAAAATTGAGTTGCTTGTCTTTTGCTTATTAAATTTTTGGAGTTTTTAATATATACTAGATACGAGATTTTGTAGGATACATCAATTAATTAAAAATCTCTTCTCCAGCATCTCATAACATGGTTGAAACTGGAGGACTTTATGCTGAGTGAAAAAAGTCAATCACAAAAGGACAAATATTGTATGAGACCACTATTGTAAAAACTCATGAAAAAGTTTACACACAAAAAGAAACAATCTTTGTTGGTTACAAGGGATGGGAGGACTGGGGGGTGAATACCAAGTAGACAATAGATAAGTGGTATCTTTGGTGAAGAGTAACACAGTACACAATACTGGGGAAGCTAGCACAACTTGTACAAGGAAAGGTCATGGAAGCTCCATAGACACATTCAAACTCCCTGAGGGACCGAATCGCTGGGCGGAGGGCTGTGGGAACCATCATCTCAGGGAACATCTAGCTCAATTGGCACAACACAGTTTATAAAGAAAATGTTCTACATTCTACCTTGGTGAGTAGCATCTGGGGTCTTAAAAGCCTGTGAGCAGCCATCTGAGATACTCCATTGGTCTCACCCCTTCGAGAGCATGGGAGAATGAAGAAAACAAGATACAAGGGAAAGATTAGTCCAAAGGACTAATGGATCACAGCTACCATGGCCTCCACCAGACTGAGTCCAGTACAACTAGATGGTGCCCGGCTACCACCACTGACTGCTCTGACAGGGATCACAACAGAGGGTCCCGGACAGAGCTGGAGAAAAATGTAGAACAAAATTCTAACTCACAAAAAAAAAAAAAGACCAGACTTACTGGCCTGACAGAGACTGGAGAAACCCTGAGAGTATGGCCCCCAGACACCCTTTTAGCTCAGTAATGAAGTCACTCCTGAGGTTCACCGTTCAGCTGGGGATTGGACAGCCCCATAAAACAAAATGGGACTAATGAGGCACAGCAGTCCAGGGACAAGGACTAGAAAGCAGAAGAGGACATGAAAACTGGTAATAGGGAACCCAAGGTTGAAAAGGGACAGTGTTGACAGGTCGTGGGGTTGTTAGCCATTGTCATAAAACAATATGTGTACTGTTTAATGAGAAACTATTTGTTCTGTAAACCTTCATCTAAAGTACAAAAAAAAAAAATCTCCCAGTCTAGGGCTTTTCACTCTCTTATTAGTGTCTTTTAAGGAAAATTAGAATGTTCTCAATTTTAAATAAAAAAAATCACGTTAGCTTTATTGTCCAGTCCTGGGCATCTAATAGAGCCCCCTCCCCACAAATTTTCAATGTTAATAAAATATCCACGAATGCACTTTAATTTGTCTTCTTCTTGGAGCATGGTAATAAGATGGTGGGAGGTGTGGAAAGCAGGCCAAATGAAGATTGAATGAGGGGATGTCAAGCTTGTGGAAGAAAACAGTGCTGGGTTGGAGGATATATGAGAGGTCTCTTAAGGGGAGGAAGAAGAAAGGAAGGCAAGTACCATTGGCTAAGCATATGCTAAGGACCTGACACTGTGCTGGGAGTATTGTCATACTTAATCTTCAGATAAGGAAACTGAGGCTCAGAAAAATTAAGTGATTTTTCCAAAGTCACAGAGCTAGAGAATGATGGAATTTGCCTCAGAAAGGTCTTCTGATTCCAAGTGCGGTGCTCTTTTCATTCTTTATGACCAGCTGTTTCTCTGGGGAAAGTAGAAAGTGGAAGGCACATTTTGGTTTGATATAAATGAGAAGTTTCTAACAGAGCTGTCCAATAGTGTAATGGGTTGACTCCTGATGTATACTTACACTGAAAGTATTCAAGCAGACACTGCAAACAGCAGTCTATCCTGAATATTATAGAAAGGACTCTTTCATTTGGACTAGCCTCAGTGACCTCTAAGTGTCCTTCTAACTAGAAGATTCCATGATTCTATCCTTTTGAAGAGCTAGTCACTTGGAGAGATCAGAATTCAAGCCTAGCACAAGATAGCATAAGCAAACACTGATCCGTGTGGTAGAGACTACAAACAGAAGGGTATTACAAAGTGAAATGACTAATTTTGATAGTGAGGATTAGACTTTGATGTTGTAGTTTTGGAAAATGTTGAAAACTAAATAAGCAATCAAACTGCAAATATGTTTGAAAAATAAAAGTGTGATATGTTTTATAATTTTGTTTTGACAAATGCTATTTTATTATTCATTTACCGTAGAACTTTTAAAATAAATCATTTGAAAACAAAGGTCTTTTTAACAAAGTTTACCTAAGTGGTCAGTGGGATTAGCTGGTGGTGGCAGGAGTGGCTGAGGAGGCAAAGTGCAATCTTGTAGAAAAATTAAGATAATGATTTGCTTAAGGGGAGAGCCATGATTCTACAAGGTTGAGCAACCTGAAATGTGGGGGACATGCACAGGCCACACCTATGCATAGAATCCATGTCATTGAAGAGCGAGTTTTTTCCAAATAAGAACTGTGAGCTACAGCTTGGCTTTGATGAGGTGTGACTTGAAGGAATTCACACTTTGGGATGCATGCATGTATTTTTATCCCTTTTTTTCAGTAAGGAAGTTTCTGAAGTCAAGGATATTATTAAAGTTGAGAGGCACTATAGCATAATAGTTAAGACCATGGGCTCTGAAGTCAGACCCGTGTTTGAATCCCAGCTCTGCCACTTATCAGATTACTATCTTAACCTCTTATGGCCTCAGTTTTCCCATCTGTCAAAATGGGACAATAATCGTACCTGTTTTCTAGGGTACATGTCGGCACATAAAACTCTTGGCACCACTCTTGGCACATGGTGAGTATTCCATAACGTGAGCTAAATATTCTCATGTATGTGGCCTGAAGAAATTTTTAAATGAAAGAAAAAAAAAAGATATGAAATAAAATGAGAAAGATCTGTTTGGAGCAGAAGTATTCCGAACATTTATTCATTCAGCAAATAATCACTTAGGGCCATGTGCCTCGCACTGTTTTAGTCACAGTCAATTCTTATACTCAACATACAAACACTAACAACTATTGCAACTCCTGGATGATTCCAGAGCCTTCATGAGAGAGGCTTAAAAGCCAGAATAACTCAGAGGCTAACAGGATCACTCAGGAGGCTTTGTGGCACCTCTTCCTCGAGCCAGAAGCAGGCCACCCCGCTAGCTCATCATTTTTTGGCTGACTGTGAGGTGCAGATTCACTCGAGACTCCTCCGTGGAGCGTTTTTCACTTCTGTTTCTTTCTCTCGCTCTTAACTGAAGTTTCTGACCGAACCCTGAGCTTCGAGTACAGGGCCTGAGTCTAACTCTTCAGTCACTAACTTAGATGCCCAGTAGGTGCCGAGGTTTATTGCTTCATTGATCTTTATTTCCGCCCTCAGGCACCTCACTAAATACTGCTTACCCTCTTTCCCTCTTTTCCCCACTTGGGTCTTAAGCTCTTTGCCCCAATCCCGCTCGCTTTCCCTCCTTTTTGTGCTCCGCGCATACAGGGCGCCTCACTCCATCATTCCATTTGTCCCGCCCATCGCCACCTCTCTCGCCCCACCCCATCACAGCACTTGCCCCGCCCCTCATAGCTCTCTAGCCACGCCCTTTCTACCTCTGTCGCCCCGCCCCCGCTCCCTTACCCACTCTGTTCTTACCACGCCCTTCTTCTAATCCTAGTGCGTGCGGGGCGGATGGGAAAAGCCGTGCCCAGGCGACACCTCTGCCCCCTGCCGGCGAGCATGTTAACTGCAGATGCTGCCAAACCCTCATGCCTTAAGCTCCGTCTCCCTTCACCTCCCGAAAAGTCAGGTGCCCCTTCTGGGCTTTTGCGCCCTCAGCCGGCACGCGTCTCCTCTTTGGACACTGTTGTTTCTGCCTCTCATTTCGCGCTTTCTTTTTAGGCTTAGAGGAGGTGGAGTTGGCACGGCTGCGCCAGTGTTGCCCGGGCGACGCCTTGTAACTTCCGCTGGTCTCAATGCTTCCGGGTTGGCATTGCGGTGGCGTTTCCGATTGTGGGAGCCTCGGCTTCCCAGTCGTCTGATGAGCCCGAGCAGGTGAGGGGGAGCTCCTGGATTTCCAGGCCGGGGAGCGGGGCTGGGCCGCGCCAGGCCGCGTGGGGCCGGGCTGGCCTGGTTCCCGGCCTGGGAGGGGCTTAACGGTCCTTTGGTCTCTCTCTCCCCTCAGCCGAGTCCCTTCCCTGTCTTTCACTCTCCTGGCATCGGTGGTTTTACTTCTTCGATTGAACCCTGCTTCTCGACCCCCCTGGGAGGCCGCCTCCTTCAGGCGCCTCCCTTCTCTCCACGAACCCGCTCTGACAGCTGAGGAACTGGCAAGATCCGGCTACCCAGAGGGTGAATGGGTATCTTTCCCGGAATAATCCTAATTTTTCTAAGGGTGAAGTTTGCAACGGCGGCCGTGATTGTAAGCGGAGTAAGCAAACACCTCCATTGTATTAGTGTGAGGGATGCTGTTGAAAAATGGTGTCCCCTTCAGTTTCTCCCCCTGCCACTCCTTGAGGTTGAGGCATTGAAGGCATCTATTAAAACGCAGTTCAGTTGCTTAATTGGGATGACAGCCATTACCAAATATGAATTAGTTTCTCAGGCAAGGAAACAGCAGGGGCATTTGTAGTTTTCTGTCAGTGATTCCTGGTGTTTTTCCAGGCTAGGGATGCATAGAATCGTCATGAACTCTTCCCTCGCTTTCATTCCCTATATCACCAAGTTCCTTTATGTCTCCATTTGAGAAGTTTATCTCAGACCTCACCACCTGCAAACATCACTGTCTGCTTTACTTCCCACCATCCCAAGCAACTGCCCCAGCCTTTCCCATGTGTAATCCACTGTGCTTGCTGCAGTCCTACTAGGCTAACTAAAATGTGAATTTCCTCAAGCCACTTTGCTGTTCAGCCACTTACAGTGTCCTCCCCCTACCCCCCACCCCTTGGTTTCAAGGCTTTCAACATAAGCTGCTTCTCATATAGTTCTTGTCTGATATTGTTTCAGTCAGACAAGGGACTTCTCTGCTCCTCTTAGGTTGCTTTCTTCTCATCACAAACCATGTTGATGCCTGCCTCCAGGTGTTATGCATGTTCCTACATTCTTGTCTTTGTTTATCTTGTTTCCCTCTCCTCCTCCTTTCTCTTATCTATATCTATCTAAATACTGCTGGCCCTCTGCCAAGGCCCTTTTTAAGTTCTGTCATCTCCGTAAGCTGGTTCAAAGTATTCAAGGCCATACTGATTGTCTCTTTTTCTCTAATGAACTACTTTGATGTCTTCCACCAGTTTATAAGCTCTTGAAAGGCAAGTACTGTATTTCATACAACTTTTATCCCCACCATCCCCATCTCCTTGATTATCCAGGAAAGATAGGTTGACTGGTAAATATTGTCATGGTGTTAGAACATATGTTCTGAGTTTGTTTGTTTGACGTGATGGTTATACCCATAGCACATTGCAGGTTTGGGCATTTCATGAACCTTCAATAAATGTTTGGCTCTCCTGTATTACCTCCTAAATCTGAGAATCTCTAATGTTTACCCTTTCTTAAGGAGAAAGCAAGAAAGGCACCCAGATTTTCCTGACCAGGTCTTTGGAGTAGTGTCCAAAACCAAACCAACCCCGTTGCCGTCAAGTCGATTCCATCTCATAGCGACCCTATAGGACAGAGTAGAACTGTCCCATAGGGTTTACAAGGAGCGGCTGGTGGATTCAAACTGCTGACCTTTTGGTTAGCAGCCTGAGCTCTTAACCACTGCACCACCAGGACTCCTGGAGTAGTGTAAAACCTGTTGCCGTCGAGTTGGTGCCGACTCATCGCGGCCCTATAGGAGTAGTGTAGGGCTATGTAACTTGTAATCTAGGACATTCTTATTCTCACTTCTATGCTATCATTTTCTTTATTCAGATATTCAGAATACATATCTGCATTTTGAAGACAATTTTCATTGGCTTCTTTATATAATAAGAATATTTAAGTACTGCATTTCTATTTTAACTTAGATATGAGTTCTTTCCTTTTATCCATATCTGGGTTTAGCCCCCACAAGTCACAATCATTTTTAGAGGGGTTGGGATATTTTACACAAGTAATTCTCTGCAACAGAAGCAAGGGAAGGGGATAAATAGAGAATCCCTGGGGGTGAGGAGCATGTCCTGTATTACATAGCGTATAGTGTTGGTCAGGTCCAGCAAGTTACGTTTGTGGTTTCCCCTGTAATCTTTTACATATAGGCTGTATACACGGGTAAAGGAAGTCACAGTGGAAAACCAACCACTTATTTAATGTGTGCTCAATTCTGTGCAAACTATTCTGAGGGTTATAAAAAGTACTGTGAGACATAGAGTCTGCCTTCAAGGATCTTACATAATTAGGAGAGGAAATAACATGGGGCAAATAGAAGATAAATCTCATTCAAGTCTTTTTTTATGGCTGAGATTAAGATAAGGGATAACTGAAGGTTTAGAAAACCATTGCACAATTGTAGAAGAGGTGAGACATGGACATCATGCACGCGTATAGCCTTATATAAAAGACTTGGAGGTTTTATCTGACAGCTTAATGATTCAACATGTGATATGGTCCCCAGAAATCTACTTCAAATTCCAGCTGTAGTCACTGGAGTATAATATATAGAATGAAGAACATAATTGTGGATCTTTAGTCAGAGAAAGATAAGACATGATGGCAGTCTTTAAATATTTGAAGGACTCCCCTAGGGAAAAAGAGTAAATTTGTTCAATATTGCCTCCCAAGAATGGGTGAAAATAGAGAAAGGCAGATTTTTGGCTCAGTATGAAGAAGGACTGTCTAAATCAGACGTAATCCAGGATGATACAGGGCTTCTTCATAAGCTGGTTCTTTCCTAGCATTGGCGGGCAAGGGATTTTACTATCAGATGGGGGTGAGGAGGTGGTGGTAAGTGATGGTGGTAGCGGTGTTAGATTTAGCCAGTGGTCCCCAGACTTCTGGATTTCATAGACTAATAAAATTTAAATTTAAGTGTGGGGAGGGGACACAAATATAGGGTAGTCAGTCTGATTTTGCCAAGTAAGGACACTAAGCAGAATCAACTGCCAACTACTATTACCATCATTTCATACAGAAAGGTAATATTTTTAATGCTCCAGGAGTAGGAGGAACATGATTTCATAATAATAGTTCTTTAAATTAAATACATTTAACTGATAAAAAGATACTAGATGCCTTCATTTATTTATTTATTTATTTTTTCATTTCTCCCCAGAATTGTGAAAACTTTACTAGGGAACCGCTTGACTGACTGACCAAAGATTCAGTAACTGGTCTTTCTACTCCCTGCTATGGCCCAGCCCCCTGCCTTTCTCTGGTTCGTTATTGCTCCCTGAACCCTGAGCACATCTTCCTTATTATAAGGCTGGCACCATACCAAAAACCCCTCTGCTGTCAAGTCAATTCCGACTCATAGCGACCCTATAGGACAGAGTAGAACTGTCCCTTAGGGTATCCAAGGCTGTATATCTTTATGGAAGCAGAAGCTCTGATAGAGGCTTTCTCTGTAACCACAGGAGTTGAAAGAAGTCACAAAGAGAAAGCTTTGGAGAGAAACACAGCCGCAGTCCGAAACATTTAAGAGTTTGGGGGAATCGCTAAATTGGTGAATGAAGAGTGCATTTTCTCCCTCAAACTCAGAGAGGGCATATGCCATGACCCTTGCTTTATCATGCCTACTCTCTTATATGCCACGTGTTAATATCAATTCTAACGTTAATATATGGATATGGTTAAAACGTTGATAAGATAGTATTTAGTACTCAGGACTATTTCAGGCTGCAGCTGATACTGAAACAGTGGTTAAGTGCTGGGCTGCTAACTGAAAGGTTGGCGGTTTGAACCCACCAGCCACTACTTGGAAGAAAGGCGTGGCGGTCTGCTCCTATAAAGATGACAGCCTTGGAAACCCTATGGGGCAGTTCTCCTCTGTCCTACAGGGTTGCTGTGAGTCGGCGGCAAGGGTTTTGTTTGTTTGTTTGTTTTTCCTTTTGGTTTTATTCCTATTTTGCTTTTCAGAATTTCTTTCAACAACTTTCCTCCAAAAGGGCTATGTATTCCACACTCTCTATACCGGATGGGCTGGCTGATCACACTATACTGAAAGCAAACGTCCCTAATTATTTTTGTGCCCTGTAACTAAGAAACTAGCCAGCATGTTTGCTATCCTCTCTGGAAAATTGTTCTGTGCTTAGTTACAGAGAATTCCTTATTTTGAAACGAAGCAAAACACTGTCTCCCCTAAAAAAAGACTGTGACTCAACAGTACTAACCCCTAGATTGGGCGGGCTGGGGGGCGGGGGTGGGAGGAGATAGTGTAGGCAGCCAGTAATATCTGTTAAGATGTAAATTTGGACACTTAAATTTTCAAAAATGTAATAATAATAGCTAAGATTATTGAGCCAAGATACCAGGCACGCTTTTCTAGGTGTTTCACATATATTATTTAATTTTCACAATAACCCTATGATATAATTTTTATTATTATTCTCATTTTACAGTTGAGAAATCAGAGGCACAAAGAGGTTGAGTAACTTGCCCAAGGTCGCAGAGCTAGTAAGTGGTGGAGTCAGGATTTGAACCCAGCCAATCTGACTTCAGAGTCTCTATTCCTGACCATCAGCCACTTGAAGTTGCTTTTGAAATTCAGAAGTATTCATACTGTGAAGCTGTGAAAAAGGAATATTTAAAAGAAATCTAAGAGTCCATCCCAAGAAAGAGATTGCTTTTAGCTGGACCAGGATTCAGTTGGTATACCTAGAGCAGTGGTTCTTAACAGTGTGGAAGCGGCAGCGTTATTTGGGAACTCACCAATTAGCCGGGCAAGACCCAGACCACCAATCAGAAACTCTGGAGGTGCAGCCTAGCAGTCTCTGTTTTGATAAGCCTTCTAGGTGATTCTGCTGCACACTAAAACTTGAAAAAACACTGGCCTAGAGGCCAGAGCTGTGGGAAAAGTATAATCCATGAGAGAGAGCTGGGGGTGGCAGGAACAGAGGAAACAGCTGAAAAGATGGAAGATGATAAGTCTAACCTGGGAAGGGGGAGCAGAATATATTGTAAAAGAACAAGAACATAAAAAAAAAAGAGTATTTGTATGTATGTGTTTTAAAAGGCCATGGTGGAGGACAAGGAGATCCATTAGATGCATGTATGTTAAATGTCAGAGAGAAGAGAGATCATCCATATTGCTGTCATTTCTGTTGGGGCTAGAGGGAAGATGGAAAGGTGCTTAGCTCACCCTGGGCCTAGTGGGCACAAGCTGGGTATAGCTAGAAGTAGCTAGAAGAACTAAAACCCTAAAGTTTAGTGGAGAGACGAGAAGGTTAAGAATGAGAGGGTATAAATACCAATGAACTGCTTTTATGAGATGCCTCAACCTATATAATTTGAACTCCTGGTTCCTTCATTTGTAATTGTCTAGTTGAATGTCTCAGTTGAGTGTGTTGGATGGACTGAGCCTCTTCTTTGGGTGGGGATGGGGTAACACAGAAAGTAGGCAGAATGAAGGGCAAAAGAGTTTGAGTGAAATCTCACACCTGTCCCTATAGAATGGCAGTAAAGACATATGCATCATTATGTAACACATAAAACAGGATGTGCCATTTTGTGTCATCAAAATTGGTGAGCTGTTTCCTCTTCGTCTGTTTTATTTGCCAATTTTGTTGGTATAAATTATATGATCAGACACTAACAAATGCTCCTCACTCTTGTGCCTTGTTCTGATTTATGTTTATTTTTAGCACCAGAAAAGTACCACTGTAAGCCATGAGATGTCTGGTCTGAATTGGAAACCCTTTGTATATGGCGGCCTTGCCTCTATCGTTGCTGAGTTTGGTAAGAATGTGACAACTGACAAATCTGCTCCTTATGGTATAAATGGTAGCTAACAGTGTTATTTTTTGTGAAAACTAAAGAAAAAGTAAAAAGAAGCTCACTCTATTTGTTTCAAAAGTTATTGTCTCAAATATTTTCTGAGAAAGTACTACTAATGATAATAGCAAGTGAAGCAAGAGAAGTCAGATTTAGGAAGCTTTGTTTTTTAATCATTCTAATGATTTGTTAATTTGCCAGGCTTAAGTAGTATGCATGAAAATATAGGAGGGGTTGGCTACAATAGGGAGTTCTGCTGTATTCCTGTACTAACAATCTCTCTTTGAAGTTAGGTTGTTTATAAGTTCCTTAGTAAGTATCCAAACTCCTTTTTTTCAAACCTCTGCCCTATTTCAGAAGAAAAATGAATTATGAGCCAAGATCTTTCTCTATTTTATTTTAGTTTTGAAATATTTTAAAGATTTCCACCCCCCCACCCCCGCATCTTCCAAACTATCTCTTTCCTAGACTATTGAGAAATGACTACAATCTGCCAACCTTTGTTGACTTTGTTGGCATATGCTCTGGTGTTGTGATACCAGGGTCATCAGTGACCAGAGCTACATAATCATCTTGTTAGCTTATAGACCTTGAAATACTCCTTGAAACATATTTTATCAATGTAATAACTGTTCTATGTGTTGACATAATGAGAGAAATACATTTAAAGAGTGTGTTTAAAGAAGTACCTTAAAGAAATGCATGCTAAATTGAGTCACCTTAGATTCATGGAGGCCTTATGTATAACAGAAAGAAATGTTGCCCAGTCCTGCAAAAACATGCTGAGTGAAATAATGCTGACTGTCTGAGTAGTACATAAAAGAACAAATATTGTAGGATCCCACCTGCATGAAATATCTAAAACAGGGAAATGCATAGCAACAATCGTTTATTAGTGGCTGCCAGGGCCTGTGGGAAGAGGGAAATGGGGAGTTATTGCTGAAGGGGTTTTGAGTTTCTGTTTAGGGTAATAAAAATTTTGGAAATGGATAGTGGTGATGGTTGTACAACATGGTAAATGTAATTAATGTCACTGAATTATATACTTAAAAATAGCTAAAATGGAAAATATTATGTTATATATATTTTACCACAATATAATTTTTTTAAAGGGAAAAAAAAAAACTTGCTAAAGAAATACATTTGTTTTTCCACAAGCGCTCTGCTGCTATTAGTCCTGAGTTACCTAAGAAGCCAGGATGAGTAGAGCCAAATAGAACTTTACTATTATCTTTCATAGTATTAGGGAACTATTTGTTTCTTATTAATGGATAAAACAACACAAAACTTTGTAATACTATATAAGAGTAGGTGGAGCAGCAATCCCTTGCTTTCCTATCCTTGTAAAAGTTTTGGGAGATTTTATGAGGGAAAGGTGGGGAGAATTGAGGTTGGGAGTGGCAAGAGAGACAGAATAAATGCCAGATTGTACATTACAGATGAAATTAAAACAAAATCGAAATTATTTTGAATTATATTAGAACTATCTTGAAGTACCTTACTATATCACAGTTTCACTTATACTGCGGGTCAAATCATGCTACATAGGTATAGTACATTTTACTCTACCACGTATGACTCTTGTCCTTCGACAGTGATATTCTAGTAGGTGTCTTCTGTGTGTTATAAAAAGGACTTTGTCTTATCTTTCAAAAATTGTCATTGGCTTAAATTCAGCCAAAATTTAACTATTGCTCTTTGGAAAGTATTTCATTTAGAAATACTTCTAAATGAGTGTTTTTAACTAGGAACTTTTCCTGTGGACCTTACTAAGACAAGACTCCAAGTTCAAGGCCAAACCATCGATGTCCGCTTCAAAGAAATAAAATACAGAGGAATGTTTCATGCTTTATTCCGAATTTATAAAGAAGAAGGTGTGTTGGCTCTGTATTCAGGGTAAGATTGGATTCTTCCCTTACGTCATGAATAGAAATTTTTTTAAATCTATTAGATGAGTTTTATTCGGGCAGGATATTCATGAAATCAGGGAGCACCAAATCACGTGTGGAAAGGTACCCCACCAAATATCAACAGTAATTGGAATAGAATTTTTTTTTTAAGAAGCTATAATCCAGTTTGTGTCCTTCATATTCACCATCTGAACTTGTAATTCAGTATTGACTTGCCGGTTTATATTTCACCTGCTTGCAAGTCTTAAGTTTTGGATTTTATGTTTATCTGGCTATAAGTGATACATCTAAAATGAGTATAGCATTGTAGCATGAAGGTCATTGATAGCCACTGTTAATAGCTGCACAAGTCAACTGTTTATGTGTCTTTGGTATTCTTCCTGAGTTGGCAAATACTGAACTTCTTATAAAATTTTCCCTTTTAAAGAAATCCAATTCTGGTGGTTTAAACAGAAAATGTAGAATGAGAGAGACCCTTTTTTTTGAGGGTCAACTTTTGATTAGCCATCAGTTTGTGGTTTATTGTCCAGTTTGTGGTTTATCTGCTGCCCAATTCCTTGACTACCAGTTTATGTACTCAGAGAGTGGACGTCAATTTTGTTATTAGCCTATGATAGTTGTGGGGGAAAAAAATCAAATAAAACATCCTGAAACTAAATGTAAGTGATTCGTGGATCATATGTTTCACCTTTCTTTCATAAGCATAGATAATCACAAGATATTTTCTGATAGCAAGTAATAAAATCAGAAATGTGCATATTTAGTCATCACTTTTTAATCCTAATTGTCTGAGCTGCAACTGTCTTCCTATTTATAACTCCTAAAGTATAGTTTTGCAATTTGGAAGAATCTCAAGGGAGGTATGAGTGAGAACACCTCCAGTTTATAAGCAGAACTTAAATAGAGTGAGATCTTGGCTCCAATACTTCCTTATTATTGGCTTAAAGATGCATGTGCAACTGTTAGGAAGTAGAGGTTGATTTTTTAACAAATCTCTATGAGGTGGGTAATGGTGTATAATTCTTTGTATACATCTCTGGATCTAATTTGCTAATATTTTGTTGAGGATTTTTGCATCTAAAGTCATGAGAGATATTGGCCTGTAATTTTCTTTTTTGTAGTCTTTGTCTGGATTTGGTATCAGGGTTCCCGCTTCTGTTTTCTGGAAGAGATTATATGAGGATGGTGTTAATCTTTAAATGTTTAGTAGAATTCCCTAGTAAAATGAGCTGGGCCTGGAGATTTCTTTTTTAGGGGCTTTTAAATTATGGATTCAGTTTCTTTAATGGCTATGAGACGATTCAGGTCGTCTGTTTCATCCTTGTTGAGTTTTGGTAGTTGGTGCTTTTTGAGAAATTAGTCTGTTTCTTCTAAGTTGTTGACAAATTATGAGCATAAAATTATTTATAATAGTCCCTTATCTTTTTAATAGCTGCCCCATAGGTTTTCCAAGGAGCAGCTGGTGGATTCGAACTGCCAACCTTTGGTTAGCAGCCGAGCTCTTAACCACTGAACCACCAGGGCTCCTTAATAGCTGCAGAATTTGTAATTATATCCCTTGTTTCATCCTGATATTGGTGATTTGTGTCTTCTCTGTTTAGGTTTATCAGTTTACTAATTTGTTTCAAAGAGTCAGCGTTTTGTTTCACTGATTTTTCTCTGTTTTCAGTTTTATTGATTTATGCTCTTTATTATATCCTTCCTCTGCTTGCTTTGGGTTTATTTTGCCCTTGTTTTTCTAGTTTCTTGAGGTAGGAACTGAGATTATTGATTTGAGACTTTTCTTCTTTTCTAATGTAAGCATTTCATACTATACATTTCCCTCTCAGCACTGCTTTGGTTGCATCCCACATTTTCATTTGGTTCTTTTTTTTTTTTAAATTTCGTTTGAGACTTCCTCTTTGACCCATGGATTGTTTAGAAGTGTGTTGTTTCCTTTCCAAGTGGTTTGAGTATCTTCTTGTTGTTTTTCTTACTGATTTCTAGTTTGATTCCATTATGTTTGGAGAACAAACTCTATATGATTTCAGTTCTTTTCAATTTACTGAGGTTTGTTTTATGACCCAGGATATGGTCTATCTTGGTGAATGTTCCATGAGTGCTTGAAAAATTACATATTCTGCTATTGTTGGGTGGAGTGAGGTGGGTAATGAGTAGGCTGTCTAGATATGTATATTCTTCAAATGTATATTGAGTATAATTGACTTTCCTTTCTTTTTTTTTGGCAGAATTGCTCCTGCTTTACTGAGACAGGCATCATATGGCACCATTAAAATTGGCATTTACCAAAGCTTGAAACGATTATTTGTAGAACGTTTGGAAGGTCAGTATAGAGCCCTCTCTCTCTTTTGGAGTGATATTCAAAGAGATTTTTGAAATCATTCTTAGTTTCATTACGAGGTACCTGAGGATGGCTGGCAGTCATTGTAAAGACAAAGTGTGCTTATGCTGACTTGGGAGAAATCCTTGCAGAAGTGATGTATGGGTTAGAGGGACCTGTTCTCCAGGTTTGTCCCTTTTTCCATCATTAAAAAAAAAAGATTCTGGCCATTCCAGAGGGAATATGGAACAATCTTGTCCAGAAAAATTAATGCTGTCTTCATCAGCAAGAGGATTTCAACTATAGCAAATTCGCTAGCTGCCAGTTTTGATAAGCTTTTCTCAAGTGAAATCATTTTAGGCTGTTACTTTCTAGATTCTGAGGTACCTGTGGCCACCTTACCCACACTCAACATTATCGTGTGTCTGTTTGCTGCTGCAGCATTTCCAGCCTGATACTATACTAAATGGTTATTTTACCGCAGGCCTGGGGCTGCTGGATGGTTGGGGACAGCTGGAGAGCCTTTCGGTTAGTAATGTCCTTTGCATCACTTTATTGTCCTAAATCAACTTTTCCTCGAGCCTCTTCTTTGTGGAGCCTGGCAGGTTCTCCTCCACTTCTTTCTAAAATAATTTCCTTTCACAGATTCTTCACTTGTAGTTTCTGTCTGTAGGCTCCTCATGGTGAGGAGGAGTAGTGAAGATTGAATTTTCGCTTTAGAACAATATACTCTGTGGTTTCTTTGTTCTTTTACTGAGGAGATTTAGTTCCAAATGACTGCTTTTTCACATTTGACTACAGAAGCCTTCTGTAAATCAATAGAGGCTTGCATAGATCTAAGACAGTCAAAATTAGTATTTAGATAAATTATTTTATTAGACATAAGAATTTGTCTTTTAACATTCAGTTCCTGAGTCTTTAGAGTTGATGTTTCCCCCAGAAAAAGACAGAAAAGGTGTTTTTTTTAGATGTTTGTAATGATTGAAGGGGAAATACTGAATTCTAAATTTATGTGGGGTATTAGCAGTTACATAGAAGAGTAGGACATGTTCCTGTGACCTTTGAAATAATGATTTTTTTTGAAATAATGATTTATATTTTACAATTTGTATATATTTCAGTGCTGATTTGGAGTCTAGAAAGTTTTTTAGTTCTTTATTTTCATAAGCTTTGTATTTCATTTCTAAAGTCATCTCTATGCCTAAGATTTCCTTCCTCTGATAGCTCAGTACTCTGTTCTCAGAAATTGGTACCTAACACAAACAGACCTTTTGTGTGTATGTGTGTGTGTGTGTTTTTTTTCCTCCCTTTTTACAGATGAAACGCTTCTAATTAATATGATCTGTGGGGTAGTGTCAGGAGTGATATCTTCTACTATAGCAAACCCCACCGATGTACTAAAGGTAAGAAAGATCTGGTGGCGGGTATATGGAGTGTGATGTGAAAAGGGCATGAGCTTTTAGTCAGATTTGAGTTCATCTCCCCACTCTTTCAGTTGCCAGCTGTAAGCCTTGGGCAGATCATTTAACCCCCAAAGGCTTCCTCATTTGTAAAGTGAAGATAATGCCATATTTATCATATAGGGTTGTTAAGGATTACAGATAATATATATAAACCGCCTATCATTTTACTTGGTGGGTAGTAGATAATCAATAATAGTGAATCTATTATGTTATGCATTTATCCAGTGGTCTTGAAACTGGGGTGTGCAAACCCCTATAGATTCTTAAAGACTTGCTAAGAAGTATGCAGTTTTAAGGGAATCAATTTTCAGATCCCTTACTTCAGTTTGTGCTACAGTAAGCAAAACCTGTGAAAGCCAGATCCTGTGTAAGGCGGCAACCTGTCAGAGAAGGAAAACTCAAATATTTTCTATTATTAGAGAGCAATAGAAAAATGGTAAGACTGCATGCACCCTGTCAGAGGCGGAAAACTTGTGAAACCCAGAAAAACAAGGTAATCCCATCGAGTTCCAGCTCTCACAGGTTTCACTATATTTCCTAATGCTGGTCTGAAAGTGAACCTGTGTTTACAATAGATAGGTCTTTTCCATGTTACAAAAGATAGCATATCCCCCTCCCATTCCCAATCTTAATGTGCTTTGCTGCCCTGTAGTGTAAAAACCTGGGCTGCCAAATAAAGGGATAAATCGAAATAATAGTTTTAGTGGAAGCCTCCTTTAATTGATTGCAACCAGTGTCATGGAACAATTTGTGTAAGAATCATAGATTAGAAAGCTAATTTGTTATGTAAACTTTTACCTAAAGCACAATAAAATGTTCAAAAAATAAGAATTAGTTGAGGTACCTTAAATCCATAGTGCCTCTGTCTTTTTCTGTCTTGGCTTTGGAAATGGTATTTTTTGGCCTATGTTGGAATGTTCTGAATTCAGAATAGCCAGAACAGCATAGGTTAGTGGTTCTGATTCTTTTAAATATAAATGGAATGTTTTATGGGGCTAGCAGATTTTTCAAGTTACAATGGATAAAAATTTTATATGATTTCTTTCAGCTTTTGTTAAATTATAGAATGAAACATTTATTTTAATAATATAAGTCTTTATCTTCTTTTATCTCATACAATGGTAAATATTTTGTATTTATTAACTTATTTAAACTTAAGATTAAGTAAAAGCATTAAATATATGATTAAAATCTAGGAGAGGATCCCAGGTTTTTCAAAATTATTTTAGGGGGAATATGAAAAAGAAGTAACAGGACAGATGCTTTATTTATTTGAGCACTGTAGAAGCTACAGGTGACTAGGTTAGTGAAAGAGAGATTTATTTCAATTCAGAGAGTTTTGACAACTGAGAGAACGACTTGACAAACAGAATAAATGAAAGAAACCAGTGGTGGTTGATGGGAAACAGATAGGAAATGATCTTTATGGACTAAAATGAGAGTATTTGGCTATAGAATCTATCACTGTAGATTTACAGAACAAGTATTTGTGAAGAGAATTGACTGACTATCCTAAAACGCTAGAATACCTGCAGTACTTAGACTTGTTAGAATGTGCTTTTCAAGAATAATAATACTTAACTCCCTAAAACATCCTTTTTTATCTGTCTGGATCCTAGACTTAATCACATAAAGTACTCTTCTACCATTCGTTTTAATTTTCTGTCCCTTTGACCTGTTGGCAACATTACAACCATTGGCTAATGCTACCATCTACTTTTTTTCCTTTCTTATACCTAGGTAGGATTGAGTGCTGCTGGGGGAAAAGTCACAATCTTAGACTGTGATAGTACAGATATAGGATTTCTAGTCTCAGTTGGGCTTTTCAGTCCTTTTATTTATACTTGGGCAGCTCCTTTTCCTATCCTCAGTGATATTTAAGCCTTCAAGTCTTCTTTTAGGTCCTTGTTCTTCTTATTCTCACCAGACAACCCCATTTCCTATGACCTCACCTTCTACCTCTCAACTTCCTGTCCTTCCTACCCTTCACCTATAAACTTACTTAAACATCTTTACCTGCCCTTACTTTGTCTCTACTGTGGTGGCTCTTCAAGAGTGGTTCCCCAGGCCAGCAGCATCAGCATTGCCTGGGAACTTGTCAGAAATGCAAAATCTCAGGCCCCACCCCACACCTACTGAATCAGAAACTGTGGGATGGGGCCCAGCAGTCTGTTTTGACAAGCCCTCCAGGTGATTCTGATGCACCATCAAGTTTAAGAACTGTGGCTTGACTGTGGTCTCATGCACTTCTGTTTCATTAGGGACATTTGTCTATCATTTACTCTCTTTCTCTCCTATCTTCAGCCTCTTCCTCTCTACTGGTTTGTTGTTGTTGTTGTTAGCTGCTGTTGAGTCGGCTCGCAACTCATGGTGACCCCATGCACAATGGAACAAAATGCTGCCTGGTCCTCTGCCATCCCCATGATCAGTTGCGGATTGGACCATTGTGATCCATAGGGCTTTCATTGGCTGATTTTCGGAAGTAGATTGCCAGGCCTTTCTTCCTAGTCCATCTTAGTCTGGAAGCTCTGCTGGAACCTGTTCAACGTCATAGCAACAAGCACGCCTCCACTGACAGAGAGGTGGTGGCTGTGCATGAGGTGCGTTGGCTGGGAATCGCACCCAGGTCTCCCACAGGGAAGAGAAGAATTCTACCACTGAACCACCAATACCCCCTCTCTACTGGTTAAAAAAAAACCCAAACCCGCTGCTGTTGAGTCGATTCCGACCCATAGTGATCCTGTAGGACAAGGTAGAACTGCCCTGTAGGGTTTCCAAGGCTGTGGCACAGTGGTTAAGAGATTGGCTGCTAACCAAAAGGTCGGCAGTTCAAATCTACCAGCCGCTGCTTGGAAACCCTACGGGGCAGTTCTACTCTGTCCTATAGGGTCGCTTCAACTTGACGGCAATGGTTTTTTTGTTTGTTTGTTTGTTTTAAATCTTTACAGAAGCAAACTGCCACATCTTTCTCCTGAGGAGCAGCTGGTGGGTTTGAACTGCCGACCTTTCGGTTAGCAGCCGAGTGCTTAACCACTGCACAAGTAGGTCTCCTCTCTACTGGTTACCTCCCATCAAATTATAAATATGTTCACGTCTCTCTATCCTAAAACAACTTCTGCTGGCCCTTGTGCCTCCTCAAAACAGTACTCTTATACCTTTTCTTAAGAAGGAGCCAAATTTCCTAAGAGTAGTCCTCACCTTTCATTCCCTCCATAATCTGCTGCAATCTCCCTGCTACTTGGTTGAAACTACTCTGCCCAGTGTCAGCAACAATGTCCACATTATCCAATCCAGCAGATACTTTGGTTCTCATCTTAACCTATTGTGAATAATTCCTCCTACTTGAAGCTCTCCTTTAGTTTTGACACCACAGTATTTAAATTCTTCTTCTACCTTTCATACTTCTTGGTTTCATTTGTGGGCTCCTCTTTTTCTACCTATGCCTGAAATGTTTCTTTCCTCCCACCCAAGGTTCCATCTTTAGCTCTTTTCTCCTCTTCAGTCTCATGATATAAAAATAAAAATTCTGTGCGACTCGGGTTACTTACATCACCCTAATCCTGGCCCTGTTGGATCCTGTCTTTAGTTCATCATGGATTTTTTTTTTGCATTAGTTTTGATTTTTTTTAAGGATGTTTTCATCAGCCTCACATTCCTCATCCTAAGGTCATTTGCAGAGTCGGGAGAAAATTTGGGGAAAAGGAAAAATAAGTACTCACTAGGGGTAGAAAGGAGCCCTGGTGGCACAGTGGTTAAGAGCCTGGCTCCTAACCAAAAGGTTGGCAGTTTGAATCTGCCAGGTGCTCCTTGGAAACCCTATGGGGCAGTTCTGGAATTGGCTCGATGGCAATGGGTTTGGTTTTTTAGGGAGTAGAAAATAATTCATTTAAAATATGATTCCACCACCCACTGCCTTTGAGTCAATTCCAACACATAGTGACCCTATAGGTCAGAGTAGAACTGCTATATAGGGTTTCCAAGGAGTGGCTGGTGGATTTGAACTGGTGACCTTTTGGTTAGCAGCCATAGCTCTTAACCACTGCACCACCAGGGCTCCGAACTATGATTAGCTTAGTGAAAAATTAGAAAGACTCTAAATGTCCAAAAACAACGAAGGATTGGCTACATAAATTATGTTACACCCATTTAATGAATACTATAAAGCCATTAAAATTTTTTATAGTATATTTGTTGGCATTGGAAAATGTCAGAAATTAATTGCTCAATAGAAATACACTTTGACAGAAATTACATTTTTTATATATACAGTTTAACTCATTAATTTTGTCATAACAGGCTGATTTTTCTGATAGCTCTCAAGTACTATTTTCTTAACTTTAACTGAGTTGAAACATCTCATTTTGGTTCTTACTGTCAAAACAAAACATTCACCATTTCTTACTTTAGATTCGAATGCAGGCTCAAGGAAGCTTGTTCCAAGGGAGCATGATCGGCAGCTTCATCGATATATACCAACAGGAAGGCACCAGGGGTCTGTGGAGGGTGAGTACTCTTTTCTTGTATTGTTCTGTACTCTTCAGTTCCTAGAATTTGCAAAGAATAATTTTTATATAAAGCCACAAAATTGTGAATTGTCATCTAATACTATGTAAGATTCTTGCGGAACCCAAAAGATAAGGTAAGAAGCTCCTCATCACTTGTGTTACTGTTGTTAGTTGCTGTCAAGTTGATTCCAACTCATGGCGACCCCATATGTGCAGAGTAGAACTGCTCTGGAGGGTTTTCAAGGCTGTGACCTTTTGGAAGCAGATCACCAGGCCTGTCTTCCGAGGCGACTCTGGGTGGGTTTTAACCACCAGTCTTTCGGCTGGTAGTTGAGTGCTTAACCATTTGCGCCACCCAGGAACTCCCCATCACCTGTGAAAGGACCAAATTTATCAATGGCCTTTATTTCTGCTTAATATTTGGGGATTGTATGTGTGGGAGAAGTAATTAAATTATTTGACGTAGCCATCTTGATTTGTTCAAATTCACAGTGGATTTAGTTCTTCAATATATTTTTGCCAGTTTTATACTAACACAGCAATGTGTGACTGTGATAGTCTCTGTAGTGCTTATGTTGTTACCTAGAACTATTTTTTTACCTTATAAAAAGTAAAAGATACACTATAAAATATTGAGAAAGTACAGAAAAGAAAAAAGTCCAATAGTATCACCACCTAGAGATAATCAGTGTTAATATTTTGTCACATTATCGTTCAGTCTTCTGTCTATAGTTTGCTTTTTTTGTTGTTGCTCTTCCTATAATTTTTTATTCTGTTTTAATCACTTAACATAATATTAAATGAGACTACTAGGAAAATATGCAGAAGAATGGAATGGGAAATCCTTTAATAGACTTTTAAATATAGGAGACCTTTTTTCTTTCTTCATTTATAGTTTCCCCCAGCTTCTTATAAAAATTTTCTAACATACAGAAAAGTTGAAAGATTAGAGCAATGAACACCTATATACACGTCACCTGGATTAAATAACTATTAAAGTTTTGCCATATTTGCTTTATCTGTCTTAGTCATCTAGTGCTGCTAAAACAGAAATACCACAAGTGGATGGCTTTAACAAAGAGAAATTTATTTCTTCACAGTAAAGTAGGCTAAAAGTCCAAATTCAGGGCATCAGCTCCAGGGGTAGCCTTTCTCTCTGTGTCAGCCTTCTCATCATCAATCTTCCCCCGGACTAGGAGAATAGGAGCTTCTCCGTTCAGGGACTCCGGGTCCAAAGGACGCACTCTGCTCCCGGCACTGCTTTCTTGGTGGTATGAGGTCCCCCGTCTCTCTGCTTCTTTCTTTCTTTCATATCTCAAGAGATTGCCTCAGGACACAATCCAATCTTGTAGATTGAGTCCTGCCTTACCAATACAACTGCCACCCATCCTCCCTCATTAACATCATAGAGGTAGGATTTACAACATACAGGAAAATCACACAGTACCAGGAATAATGGCCCAGCCAAACTGATATACACATTTTTGGGGGGACATAATTCAATCCATGACACTATGTTTTTTTTTCTCTCTCTGTCTCTCTTTTGCTAAATAATTTGAAAGTTACAGACATCATAACACTTCCCTAAATGCTTGATTATGCATTTCCTAAGAATAAAAACATTCTTCCACATAATCACAATACCACTGTCACACCTAAGAAAATTAACAATAAATCCCTAATATCTAATATCCAGTCCATATTCAGATTTCCTCTATAGATGAGACCGGGCCAGTTGTCTTATAGAATGTTTCTTCATGATATTTAACTTGTTCCTTTATTCCTTCTATTTCCTGTAATGTGGAAGTTAAGTTCATTGACATAGACTCATGTTAAACATTTTCGGTAAGAAGGCTTCACGGGTTATACTGTGTACTTCATATTGCATCACGGGAAGAGGCACATAATGTTAGGCTGTCCCATGATTAGTGATGCCACATTTGATTACTTGGTAAGATGATGTCCACTAGCTCTCTCCACTGTGAAAAGTATGTTTTTCCTTTTGCAATTAACGAGTAATCTGTGGGGTGATATTCTAGCAACGTGCATATATCCTATTCCCTAATAACTTTTCACCTAATGGTCTTAGTATCCATTAATGATCCTTGAGGTTTGCTTTTTGATAACAGCAGAATGCAGTTTCTTAATTAGTCTAATTCAAAACCAGAAAGTGGAACTAACTAGAACATTTTTACAAACCCATGTCGAGGGAAAGACAAAGAGCAATAGAGTTGGAGATTTTGTCAGGGGAACATGGCTACTTTTATACTTGGCTGCTTACATGATCCAGGCATGTAACATAAAGAATTGAAGTATATTGTACTTTTGACACACATTTCGTTTGCATATTAAAAATGCAGGAATATATTTTATTTCAATATGAAAATATGTTGCATTTTTCTTCAAACACATGGTCCTTCCAGTCTGTATTTTATTTTCCACTTTGATTATAACATGGGTACTGAAAACATTTCACTTTCTTCCTAACTTTCCTCCTAACTCCATTGTAAGAAAAACAGCATGAGTGTAATAACAAAGCGTAAAGTGACACTTGTCCCAGAATTGGGGATACAATAGAGTAGTGGGGACTGTGGTGAACTGGAGAGCACATGTTCTGTTTAAAGGGGACAGCTGCTCCTCAGCTCTAGCCCAAAGCTGCCGTGCACTGATACGAACCCAGTGTTGCCAAATTTTCTGGACTCTCAAGAGAAGCTAGAAATCTGCACTTCTATATGAAATACCCTGATTTTTTAATGTTCACAACTGATTCAGCCTTCTAGAAACACTGTGTGAGCCACACAAAAAGTGTCTATGGCCTGAATTTGGTCCATGGGCTCCAGTTTGTGGCCTTAGTGTTCACCAAAGTACAGTCTTCTGTGACAGTCACCCTTTTTAACAGAGTGAAGCAGGTGGAGGAGTCAGGGAGGAAGGGACTGTTTGTCCGGCTGGCCAGCCAGGTCAGCAGAATCAAGCATTTCTTGATGAGCAGGGGGATGACAGTGCAGCTACATCACTTTCCCTTTATAAATTGACTTTGGGAATTTAGAGATGATTGAACACGTTAATGTAAGTTATCTCAGAAAGCGGTTGTCCCCATGGTATGTTATTTTCAATGTCAAAAGACATTTAAACATAATTATAAAAGTAAAACATTCATTGTGAAAATATTTTTGAAAATTTACAAAGATATAAAAATGAAAATGAACTTATATGCTATCCTAACCCCAGATGAAGAAAAATATCTTGATGTATTTCTTCTAATCCTTTTTAAAATTTTGCATGTGTGTGTATATATGTAATATGTACACATGCACATATATACATATATGCATATATATTGTATTTTTATGCAAATAATGCACGCATTATACATTTTTTGCGAACTGCGTAACCCCCTTGTGTGTGATTTTCCTAAACGCACTATACACATCATATATGTGGACACATTTACATGGGCGCGTTATTTGTGAAAAATATGGTATATACACACGTACATGCATATATGTACATATATATGCTTTTCCCCTAAACTTAGAATAACACCATATGTAATTTTATGTCTTGCCTTATTTAACATTATAGCATAAGTATTTTCTTGTGTCATTAATACTCTTTAAAAACATTTTTAATGCCCTAGCAATCCTGTGTTGTAATGTAAGCAGTGATTGTGATATTGTGCTATTGAGTGAAACACTGCTAATGTTACCACAGGAGGTCATGTAAGAGAAGCACCACTTTGTCTTGACCTTTTCCGTAGCAACTTCATACCTTTTGCTGCCATCCCAGTGTGTGTGGACATCCTAAAATTCTGTGAAATAAACCTAGCTCTCCTCTCCCCACTTTTTGTTTCTTGATTTTATTTTATATTTCCTATAACAGCTTTACTGAGCTATAATTCACTTACCATAAGATTTACTTTGGTTTTTAAAAAAGCATCTTAAAGTGTATAATGCAGTAGGGTTTAGTATATTGACAGAGTTGTGCAACCACTAAGTTTAGAACATTTTCATCATCCCGAAAAAGAAACCCTGTACCTATATCCATTTGCAGTCCTGGTTTTCCCCCAACCCTCCCATCCCTAGGCAACTACCAATCTACTTTCTGACTCTAGATTTGCCTGTTCTGGACATTTCATATACATGGAGCCATACAGTATGTGGCCTTTTGTGTCTTGTTTCTTTCATGTAGTATAATGTTTTCAAGGTTATCCATGTGGTAGTATGTATCAGTATTTCATTCCTTCTTATGGCTGAATAATATTCCATTCTATGAATATACCACATTTGTTTATCAATTCATCTGTTGATGGACACTTGGGTTGTTTACACTTATTGGTTATGATAAATAATGCTGCTATGACCATTCATGTACAAGTTTTTGTGTGAATATATGTTTTCGATTCTGTTGAGTGTGGAATTGCTGGGTCGTATAGTAACTGTGTGGTGAAATGAGTTTCTTTATGTGGCCTTTTGCTTTGGTTCTTTGGAAAAATAGCTTGAGAGATTTTTCCCCAAATCCTGAGGAGTTACCTTTGCCCTAGTTTTCTACCCCAGAGGGTTTATTACTTTTTTCTAGATTGATTGACCTTTCCTGGGTAAGTTGTAAACAACTTGGTTTGATACTTTTTGTCTGGTCCTGGGCTGTAGCCTGCCCTGTGATTGGTATGCACTTTGCAGGGATTGGTCAATAGACTATGCAAATGAGGTGAGTTGTAGCCCAGCTTCACCTACTATGCAAATGAAGTATCTGTAGCCTGCTAAGAGGGGATTGGTCAGTTTGTGCTGCCCCCGCCCCACCACTGAGAGGGACCATGCCTTGAAATTGACAAGGAGTTGTGCATATATATGCAGCCAGCCCCACAGAGGTTGAAGCAGACAGAAAGAAGCAAGAAGAGAAGCAGAAGGAAGAAAGCAGAAAGAAGAGGCAGAGAGAGAAGAGGCAAGGAATGTCCTAAAAGAGCTGTAACACCAGTCAAGGGCTGTAACACTGAAGACATTGAGACGCCTGGAAGGGGCCCAATGGCAGAGCCAGCAGCAACAGGCCTGGAAGGAGTCCAGAAGCAGAATCAGCAGTGACAGGCAGCAGGGCCTAGAGGAGCCTGTCCTGAGGGGGCCAAGTGGGGCCTGTCCTCAGGGGGCTGAGAGGAGCTGAGAGAGCTGTCCTGTACTGAAGAAGGGAGACTCTGCCTACATGCTTCCTGATCCTGATTCTTGAGTTGTAGCCTGTTGATTCTGATACTGAGTTGTACTGTATACCTTAATAAATGACTTAACTGTGAGTATGGTCTGTGAGTTCTGTGTGGCCATTGCAATGGATTATCGAACCCAGCAAAGAAGTAGAGAGTGCCGAGGGAGGGACAGCTAGTGTCAGAATTGGTAAAAAGGTTGGAGAGTGGAGGTATGTCTGACCTCCACCTCATAGGGATCAGCCTTGGGCTGATCTTAGTTCTCATCATTCCCCCTCATGAAGTTAGACAGGTTTGGATGCTACTACTACTATTCCCACCATTTTACACTCTGTTTAACATTTTGAGAAACAACCACAGCGGCTGTACCATTTTACATTCTCACCAGCAGTGTATGAGCGTTCTAATTTCTCCACATCCTTACCATCACTTGTTTGTTCTTTTATTATAGCCATCCTAGTGTGTGTAAAAGGAGCCCTGGTGGCACAGTGGTTAAGCGCTCAGCTGCTAACCGATAGGTCGATGGTTCAAACCTACCAGCTGCTCCGAGGGAGAAAGATGTGCCAGTCTGCTTCCATAAAGATTACAGCCTTGGAAACCCTATGGGAAAGTTCTACTCTGTCCTATAGGGTTGCTATGAGTTGGAATTGACTAGACGGCAATGGGTTTTTGGTTAGTGTGTATGGAGTGGGATCTCATTGTGGTTTGATTTGCATTTGCCTAGTGACTAATGATGTTGAGCATCTTTTCATATTGAGCATTTGTGTATCTTCTTTGAGAAAATGTCTATTCAGATCCTTTGCCCATTTTTTAATTGGGTTGTTTATCTTTTTTATTGTTGAGTTGTAAGAGTTCTTTATGTATTCTGGATACTAGACACTTAGTAGATGGATGATTTGAACATATTTTCTCCCATTCTGTGGGTTGTCTTTTCATTTTCTTGATGTTATTCTTTGACTCACAAAGGTTTTTTATTTTGATGAAGCCTAGTTGATCAATTTTTTTTCTTCTATCACTTGTGCTTTAGGTGTCATAGCCATGATTTTATTTTTAGTAGAGTAAGTTTGCACTTGACTACCGAAAGGTTGATGGTTTGAATCCACCCAGTGGTGCCTCAGAAGAAAGGCCTGGTGATCTACTTCCACAAGATTACAGACATTGAAAATCCTATGGAGTGCAGTTCTACTTTAATATGCCAGGAGTTGCCATGAGTGCCAAAAGGCCACATAAAAGAATCAACTTGACAGCAATAGGTTAAGTGAATTGGGGATTTATAAGTGTCCCAGTATTAACCATTGATTTGAAAGTGTGACCTCTGTACTTCACACTTGGATTTTTCTGGTGATTTTTCAACTTCTGACCTATGTTTTTGACTTTCAGGTTTATGTCAGTACCTGTGTATTTCCTTGGTGTCTATTGTCAATTGTGTTTTGTAGGGTGTGGTCCCAACTGCGCAGCGTGCTGCCATCGTTGTGGGAGTAGAGCTTCCAGTCTATGATATTACCAAAAAGCACTTAATATTGTCAGGAATGATGGGAGACACAATTTTAACCCACTTTGTGTAAGTATGATAGGTGGCACCCGTTCTATATTTTCAGCATTTTGACCACAAAAAGCCTCTTGATGTAGAATTGATAAATGGTACATATGGCCTAAATACCAAGTCTCTCCCATATTCCAAAACGTCAAGCCTCTGATAAATGTGCACTTCAGAGGTCCCGGATGCTATGGGCACTTTAGTACTTTGGGGGACCATCTAATACAGCAGCCTACCAGATATCTGTAGTATTTGTACCTATTCATTCACAGTCTCTATATGTCTAATAAACACATCTTTTACTTGCTTTGGCCTAATTTTGGATCTGGAAATAAACTTTTCTCAATGGGAATCAGAAAAAAGGGTGAAACTTTATAGGGCCTGTGAAATGAAAGCATAGTTTTTGATTGAAAACTGTCACTAGTCTCATCCTACATTTTATTCGTTTTGCAACCTTAATGGTATTTTGCTACTCAAATGCATTTGGCATATGGTGCTGTGGTTTGAAAAATGTATCTGTCTAATAGGTGATGTCTGATACTTGCTGCTTAGAGATCTTGTTAGGCTTATAAATGGAATTTCAAATCGAAAAGTGAAGGAGACAACTTTTGAATAGTCTCTTTAGAAAAGACTTTGTTTTTCTTTAGATTGTAATAAAAGAGCAAGTGCCAGGTTTTATCTGATGGCTCTGAGCTACTGTGCATTTATTTGTATTTGGCCTAATTTCTGTTTAAGTGGGCAATCGGGGGAAGTGGGGGAGATCTATCTTCTTAAAGTTTTTCATCTTTAGTTCCAGCTTTACATGTGGCTTGGCTGGGGCTCTGGCCTCCAATCCAGTTGATGTGGTGAGAACTCGCATGATGAACCAGAGGGCAATCGTGGGACATGTGGACCTCTACAAGGGCACTTTGGATGGAATTTTAAAGGTATGCACACTGCGGTCTTGGGTTGGATTTTTCATTTTCTTTTATGTCTTAGACCTTCTTTCAGTCCTTAGTTGCTATATATCATTCTGAAGATGGAAAAATCATTTTGTATATTTTTAGTAGCCTCTCAGAGTCATTCCCAGGCAGAAAAGCTGTCTCCTTGGCAATTTGCTGATGCGCGGTGGTCCTTAATATTATTATTGCAATTTGAATGCTTGAGAATGTAGGATACTTTTATTAATAGGACCATGTAGCATTATCGACAGAAAAAACTTAGTATATCCTACATTTGCCCACTCAGACCAAAGACCCTGTAATAGAAAACCCAATACTTGTTTTCAGCTCAAGGTTGTGCTATTGTTCATACCTTGGCTTTGAAAGTTTTTGTTATGTTTGTAGGAAGCTGAGTATCTTAAATGTATTACATAATCACTGCTGATTCTACTGCTGAAAAATGGAGGCTAAAATATATCATTTCCATATGGTTTCTCTGCCTTTACCAGTTTAGTTGAACAACTATCTATTATATACCAGGCATCAGTCTAGTAGGTACAGAGAAATTATAGGTGTATAAACAGATAATCAGTACAACCTGGTAAGTGATAAACTCTGGGTGCTATGGGAGGAAATTTTAGCTCAATTTGGGAGTTTGGGATAGGCTTCCTGTAGATGGTGGCATTTTGAATATCAATAGCATACATCTTTTGCGTGCTTTGCTGTGTATCAGGAACTCTCCTACTGAGACTTATATTTATTTAATCCTCACCACTACCCTATCAGGTGGACACTTGAAACACTGAGAGATTAACTTGCCCAAGGTTTCCCAGCTATTAAGTGGAAGAGCTGGATTTAAACTCAGACCATTGGCTTCAATACTACATTCTTTTTTTTTTTTATTGTACTTCAGGTGAAGGCTTACAGAACAAATAGTTTCTCATGAAACAGTAGTACACGTGTTGTTTTATGACATTGGTTAACAACCCCACAACATATTAACCCTCTAACTTCTCAACCTTTTTTTTTTTGGTGAAAATACACATAGCCAAAGATACACCATTTCAAAAATTTCTACATACACAGTTCAGT